AAGACCCGCAAGGTTCGTTTTTTTTTGCTTTTTTTGTTTTTGTTTTTCGAGAGCCGGGTGCGATACAATCTGTGCGCCGGGTGCGGCACGTCGTCGGTAGGCAGAGGCGCCGTGTCTGATGGACAAATTTTCGTTTTCAGTTGTGCAACGACCTCCCCCCTCCCCCCTCCCCCCTCCCCCCTCCCCCCCGCCCGCTGTATTGTTCGTGTCGCCGCGCTTGCAGTCGCTGGAAAGAATATTTCCGAACGGCTTGGACATGGCGCTGATCGTGGATGACCGAGATGACGTGTGGAGGGGAGAGCAGGCAAAGAACCTCCTTCTCGTCAGACCGTACAAGTTCTTCGTGGTGAGTGAGCACTTGGGGGAGGGGTTGCATACCGTCGTTTCGGTAACTGCTGCTGCTATTCCTAGTGATGATACTCTATTAATAGTACAGTAGGGTAGCCGCTGTCGGCAAGGGGCAAGGGGTCTTCACCCCGCCCTAGCAAAGACAAAGACAAAGGCAAAGGACACCTGCTGTGAGATGAAGTCTTAGTAGGTACTACAGAGCTACGGAGGGGGTAGTCTACTACTGTAGAGAACCGTGGACGACACAAGATATCACACCCACATAAGAAACCACACCCCCCACAGAATACGACACCCCGGTGGTAATTTTCGGCGTTTCTGCTATTAAACCATCGACTTATCACCCGGGCTACATAAGATAACACACCCTGAGGTTGCGCCGCATACATTCACGGAGCCCCACCCTCTATCACCGGGGGTGACACAGCATCTGCCCCGTGGGCATCGCACACACACACACACAAATCATGGGCGTGCGGAGAAACACCCCGCATGGGGGTCCCCGACAACAACAACGTGCAGGGAGAGCAGAATGCCGCCGCAAGTACCCCCGCTTCTTCCGCAACTGCTTCGACCGCAGCAGTACAAGCGCCACAGATCACCTCGTCATTTCAACGCGAGCGAGCACACTTCTTCTACGCAAGCGGCTCCTGCCACAGCTCGTCCTCCTGCTGATGATGATTTGACAGCAGCAGCAGCAGCTGGCAGAGCAACAGGCGCCAACATGACCATCGCACCACCTCACCAGCAGCAGCCACACCCCTTCAAGTGTGCGGCAGCAGCGGCTCAACTCTACAATCAGTATTACAGTAGCACCCCCCCCTTTTATCGCACCCCCAAACACACCCTGTGGGTGTTCGGACGTGCTATCACACCCCCTGGTTCATCATACCCCTTAGGGGCCCCTGCGAGCTGCACTTTTATCACCCGGGCTACATAAGGTACCACACCCCCCACAGGATACTATTATCTTATGTTATCATCGGGGTGTGTTATCTTGTGTCGTCTACGGAAATATAGTGGTGGTTGGACCGACCGAACCTCCTTCCCCGCAGAGCAAGCAGCCCGTGCCTTCGGATTTGAAGTCACAATGATACCATGATCATATGCCTGCTGACGACTAGTAGCAACGGTGCCCTTCTGTCACATCACCTGGGAGGCTACTATAGTAACCATTTGGGCGGAATACCTGTGAGAGTAATGACACATGCGGTCTTGTGTTTCGTGTGAGGCCGTTGTAGTCGTCGTTCGAATGCGCGGCACCAAAACACCGAGAGACTTGTGCTCAAAACAAAATTCGTCGTCTGCGTTCCTCATCATGCTTTTTATTTTTCTCTGACCAATCAGGGACAGCGGAGCGTCCCCGGCGGGCCAACCCACGATGCCGGACCACATCCACAGCCCCCTCCGAAACCAGCAGCAGCGCCAGCACCGTTCCGGGAACGGTTGGAACGTTCTGCGGAACATTCTCCGCTGCCCGGGACAACCAAGAGCGGCCGTCCGGGTGTCGGAGAGGATGGTGATGGGAGCAAAGAAGGAGAAGGGGAGGAGGAGGAGGAGGAAGAAGAAGAAGACGAGAAGCTGGGAGATAGAGACAAGGGGGCCATGACGACTGGACAAGCGAGGAAGCCGAGTCGGGGGGAAGAGGAGGAAGAGGACAACGGGAAGAAATCCGTCGTGAAGGTTCGCCATGATGGGGCCGGTGGCGGGAGGGCTTCTCCTGCCGAGCGAGGAGAAGACGAGGATAGTGTTGTGGAAATCAACGGAGTTGAAGTCGGGAGACAGCAGGGCGAGCAGCAGCAGCTTGAGGAGGAAGAGGAGGCTGGGCAGGGGGTTGGTCCACACGACAGCGGTAGCGGGAGAGGAGGCAAGGGAAAATCCCCCTCCTCCTCTTGCTCCTCGTCGTCGGACAAGCAGGTGGCTAGCCTGGGAGAGGGGCTGGCGCGGATGTTGGAAAACAAGCGACAAGAGCAAGAAGCCGGTGGGAGCAGCAGCAGTCGTGGAGCAGAAGAAGCAGGAGGTGGCCACGCAGGGGGGAATAGACCATCGGTGCCAGGGACGAAAAAGCCAACGGTTGCTGGCGACAGCACACTCGATGAGGACGGCAAGGAGAAGGAAAAGGAGGAGGATGCTGCAGATGCCGTTGGGGTAGGTTCGCCAGAGACCGGGGCCGACGACCGTGCAGCGGCGGCCGCAACACCGGGTGATTCTGGGAAACCCGCAGTAGCTCCCGCTGCCGCTGGTGCTGCTGCTGCGGGGGATGGGGGTGGTTCCGGCGGCGACGGTGGTCCCGGTTCGCTAGTCAGAACTAGCAGCAGCAGCAACAGCAACAGCAACAGCAGCAGCGGGGAGGGGCATCCACCGGGGCGGCGACGAGAGATGCTTGCGCCGCCGATGTCGCCGCCGAAGGTCGTCGCTAGCGCGGAGAACGACCCTCAGTTGGACTGCACGTTCAAGACCCTGGAGGCTGTGCACGGGGCTTTCTACGCGCCGGAGAATAGCAACCACGGGCAACCACGGTGCGTCCAACCTAACTGACAGTCATAAGCGGTGCGGATGCTCGAAAGTTCTGAGACAGGAACCGTGTGTGTTGTGACGACGAACAATAAACACCACAACGAGTGTTCTTATTCGCCTTTCGCTTTCGTTTTTTCTTTGCTCCGGTTCGGTTGATACACGTCAAATGGTGAAAGGTCGACATACCTTGTTGTTCGAGAGGAGTTGAAGTTGACTCCCCATCTCAAACCTGACTCTGTTGGCTTGCGGACCCTTCGGGTCCATTGTATTTGAGCGTACCTTTTTTTGGGTACGTTGGCCTGTGAACCAAGATAATCGACCGCGTCAAGTCTTCGATCAGTACAGACAGACAAGAGGGAGGTGCTGGATAGAGCGATCGGAATTTTGTTTAATGTGAAGACAACGAACCCAAACATTCAGCCTGTCTTTCTTCCAACCAACGAACAGGGCCGCAGCCGGATTCCTGGCAAAGGTCCGCTTGCGGGTCTTGACGGGAGTTCGCATGGTGTTCAGCGGCGTTATTCCCGTGTCGGGCGCCCCCGCCGACCCCCGCACGCACCGCCTCTGGATGATGGCCGAGAGCCATGGTGCCACGGTTGAGCGAGACATCGGCAGGCACACGACGCACGTGGTGGCAGTGAGGCTGGGCACTGCCAAGGTACAGTAACTGCTGTACCTAACGAACGGAACGCGGGGTTTGTTTGTTTGTTTTTTCTGGCGTGTTTTGCTCGGAGGTATCCATTTTTATTTTGAAGTATACGTTTTTGGGGTAAGTTAGCCTGTGACCACGGGAATCGACCCCGTCAAGTGTTAGACTAGTACAGACAGAAGAAGGTACCGGGTAGAGAGAAAGGAACGTTTTTTATTGTGAAAACAACAACAACAACAGAGTGGATAGGGGATAGGGGGAGGCAGAACACGCTGTTTGTGTTTGGTGCGTGTGCACATATGTACAGAACGTTTCCGCGAGATGCATTAGGTGGTAGTTTGTTTGGAGTGTTTTTCTCGAAGGTGGACTGGGTGGAGGCAGGTAGGCGGACAGACAGGCAGGTGTGGGCCGAGCCTACGATCATTTGTGTTTGAGAGCGGGATGATGGTGCGCAGCATACTCCTTGCCAGTGTACTCCTGCCGATTTCAGGTGTTCGGCTGTTTTTTTTTCGTTGCTTTTTTCCCCATCATCAACATCCAAGTCATGCATGATGCAACCACGGACGAAAGCAACCGTTTACATCCGCTCCCTATACCATGTTACCATTTGCTCCCTATACCATTTTACCATTTTTCTTGTTTCTGTTTTTCGTGCCGCTCTATGCTACTGTACCAGTCTAACTGCTTGTTTCTTTTTTTTCGTCGTGTATTTTTCTTTCGCCAATGTATGGTTCGATGTACTGCATGTGTCCAGACGAAGACGGGTCTGAGGATGCCGGGTGTGTTCGTGGTGCACCTGGACTGGCTGATGAACAGCGTGTGGCACTGCCGGAGAGAGAGGGAGACCATGTTCCTGCTCGCGGGGGTAAGCCTTACCATGCAATATTTTCTTTTCTTTTCCTCCCGTTGCCCCTGATTTAAGTCTTGGCAGGTTTTGCCGAGAATGACTATGACGTGGGATGTGATGTGACCCCTTTAGAAGAAGGCAGGTTGACGCCAGTTCTTTTTTCTTGACCCCCTTTCTTTTTTCACCACCAGCCCAAAAGTGGTGCATCGTTGTGGGTTGCCCCGGTAGACAAATCTAGGTGGCACCTCGAAAACCTTCTATTGATAGTGGCGAGGGTCAGGGGTACGAGTCCCGGCGTAACCGAGCTTTTCTTGCAAAATGATTTTTTTTCTTTCGATTCCGTTCCTACCCTGGGTGGGAAACGCTAATTAGTGTGTACACAGACGGAAGAGAGTGCTGCCCTCTTCTCGCGTTAAATATCTAAAGCAAAGTACCGCAGGAGGGGCGGGTAGGGGATCTCCAGGAGAGGAAACCATCTGTGACCACGGCTTGGAGTATACGACACAAGTGCTGTGAGCGCTGATTTGAAGTCAAGACGAAAAAAAAAAAAAACGTTGTGGACTGCGTGGGTACCTTCGCTTCTGTTCATTTTTTGGCTCGATGAAACATGTACTTTGGTGTGTGTTTTGTCGTCCCGTCTACTCGGGTATCAGTGTACACCTCTCCCTGCACTAGACCTCTCCGTTGTTTGTTTGGCGTTTTAGGCGGGGTCAAACAGGAGGCGTGATTGGCACCATGATCTTGCGCTAAGAACACAACTCGGGAGTCACTTCCTGCCTCATGGTAGTATCACGGACCAAGGACATCCATTAATGGTACACCACTCTAACCACTCTGCTCCGCGTCTCCAAAACCGCCAAACTCTTGGGCATGTACGTATTTTCCAGCAAATCTGCGGTGGAGATCCGCCGCCTCTTCCCGCGCCCCTCCCCCCGCCGGAGTCATCAATGTCGTCCGCCGACGTGAACCGGAGAGGAAGCATATCGTCGGCTCGAAGGGGGCGGTCGTCCGAGAGAGGAACGGCCAGCAGCAGCGGTAGCGGCAGCGAGAGCGGGGACGGTGGAGGCGGTGGTGGTGGCGGTTCGAGCCCTCGCGGTCCCGGAAATTTTCGTCGGAAACGACAACGAGAGGGGGAGGACGAGGACGAGGTTGATGACGGCCGTGGCGACGAGGCCTTTCCGTCTCGGGGGCGCAGCGGTAGTGGGGGTGGGGGTGTGTGGGGGAGGGGTCCCGGCAGACCGGAAAGCCGAGGTAGTGTGGGGGGGAGGTCTGGGTCCATGAGCTCCTCCATCGGCAGGGCTAGCAGTGTGAGCAGCGGCAGCGCGGATGACGGCAGCAGTGTCGGGAGCGACTTAGATGGCCTGGTAGACGAGCTCGAAAACTCATCGTGATGTCTGTCCGGAAGGAGCTCGGACATTACCTCCAAGCTCCCATCCAGCAGCTACATAGATCTTTTCTTTTGCGTTCACGCCTGCCGTTGGTTTGTGCTTGACCGGTGTGTTCGGCAATGCAATGTTTTGGAAGCTCTAACGGCTCGGCAGACGTCGAACACCAACTGCCGACGACCGTTCCAACGTTGTGGTGTGCTGTGTCCCCCGACTGGTGCGTCAATCATTCGCGGAGAGGTTAGACTGGCGCCTACAATAGATGGGGACGAAACACACACATCACGCTGCTTTTTTGCCGTACATGCATCACCACCTCGTAGGACGGTTGCGGCCTGGTGTGTAGGTTGCACGCGCGTTGAAGGAGTTACCCCTGACAACGCTTCTTCGGAGGAAGGCGGACACGGCGCATGATGTGTTCGATACGTGGAGATGAGATGAGATGAGATGAGATGAGATGAGATGAGATGAGATGAGATGGGAGAGGGAAGAAAGCTGTCGGCGGGTCCTGCGAAAGCGAGGCCACAGCGCTGTTTTTGGCGTTAGACGTCGCTGTAAGGGCGGGTTGCAGCGTAGAGCATGATTCGAACGTCTTTTTAGCTGACGTGGTCTAGACAAGAGGTGGCATGAAGGCTGTCGTCGTTGTTTTGGTCGCAGTGATGCCGGAGGGACTCCCGGCGGAAGGTGTGTGGTGCCGTGGTGGCGTGTTTTGTGTTTTTCTTTTTTTGTCTTGTTCGCGGTGATTCATTATCCTATGCCTACAACACATGAGTTCGATGGTGACGATGTTGACAGGATCGTCGTTCTCCGGAAGGGTTTTCACGTGTTGCACACGTCGAATGCCCTTCTTTTTTCATTTTCTCTTGCCAGTTCGTTTTTCTGGTGGATTGAGACGAGTGTTTTCTGCGTCGTGATGATGCTGCACGAAGATTGTTCTCCAGTCAGTGGCTCGCTGGGTTTGCTGCTGGCGACTCTCGTACGATTGGTTGAGCGTGGGTGCTAAATTTTGGAAACTCAGACTTGACTCTCTCGAGTGTGTGCTTGAGACTGACCCGTCACTCGTTGTTTCCAGCGTTTTCGTCGGAAGCTTCGCCTAGATAGATCTTAGAAGTCGTTGCTTGTTTCGCCTTTGTTGGAGACCGCCGCGAGCTTGGAGATAGTGGACGCCTAGCATGGTTAGAATTTACACTGTCGCTCTTCGGGTGTTTTCCCGTATGCATACAAGTAGCTGCTTTTGCCTCTCTTTCTCTCTGTGCGCTGATTTGTTTGTTTGTTGTCAAGATTGTTTCCCACTCGTCGTGGATTGTTTTGTGCCGGCACCCTTTGCTTGCGGGCACTCTTCTTTTCTGTTGGCTCTTGCCGTTGGCTGTAGTGTCCCCAGCCATAGGGTACGTGCCGAGGCCGGAACGCTCTCTTTCTTTTCCTGTTGTTGCCGTAGGCGGACTTATGCGGCAATAACTATTTATTGTGCTTCAGCGGCTCTGTCCCGGCCAGAAGAGAGCCATTGTTTGGGTGGGTGGGCTCTGTAGGATGGGATATTGAACGAAGTCGAAATGAAACATCCGTCATCATTTATCTATCGTTTCATCACCACTTGTACGTGGGCGATATGAATGCGGCGTGTATTTATTCTGTTTGTTTTGTTGGCATTTTTACAAACAAGAATGAATGTACAATTAATTCTGCGTGGTGGGGCCGTCTAATGCTGCGTGGCTTTCCACCCGTAATCCCCTGTCTCAAAAGGCACACAAAAATGCTGCGAGGTCCAGACTAAGCTCGAGGCTTAAATAGAGAGATTCAAATGGACCATCGAGCGTGTGGTGGATGCCGCTTCCGTTCAATCCGTCCTGAGACGATTACAATCGGTCTGGTTGACGGACTATTGAAATATTGTCGCAAACCCATGAACCTGTCATATTTTAGTGAGATTCTTGACCGGGCAAGCTCCTGCTTCTCACTTCCCAGCTTCTGAACGTGGTTGGGTGTCTTGACATCATGAAACTGTTTCAGTCTCTTCTCGGTACCTTCTATTGTCCGCAACGGTCGGTCCAACTGACATGGCATTGGTTGCGGGATTTGTATGCATTTCTAGGAATGGAGCCTGCCAACGCAAGCCACAATATTTGTAATGCAGTACCGATAATACCTTATTTGAGAACTTCGTAGTTAGGAACGTGAAGGGTGCACGATTTGCAGTACTTGAAGTTTTGCAAGAAGTGCATTATATTGAAACTCATACTACTCTAAAACCTAGGTATTCGGTTCGTTTTCTCGCAGGGGAATAGGCCGCGCGGGTTGCCGCCTTCTGTAGGGATTGGTATTCTAAAGTGAGGCTAAGAGAGGATCGACAAACAAACTTCTAAATACGATTGATTTTGATTGATCCCAATAGTAAAGGGTTCACGGCAAATTGTTTTTTGGTTGACCCAAACGTACATAATAATGGGGTTTGTTTTTGCGCGGTGCAGCAGCTCCAACCAACTTTCTATTGAACAAGGCCCGTCGCTGATCATCCTTCTACTTCGCACAAGAACAACTGGAAAGTTAATTTCATCACTTGTGTACTCCGTCCGGTGCTTCGCAGTAAGTAACGTTCATTCCACAGGCTCCAGACAAATGGTCACATCACGTGCAGTTTTATCGACATTTCTTTACGCACAGACAAACGTCGAGATTTCCTGGCCAAGCATCACGTGAGGCGATTAGGCGTGTGAGAGGGAACGCACGTCGGCACACAAAAAACTCTTGAGCCTCAGAGTTTGCCGCCCTCCCCGCCCACAAAGCTCGACGATGCATGAAGCAGTGCAGTAACATGTTTAGAAACGACGGCAAAGAGCAAAACTGCTGTATTTTATAATAAGAAGTGGTTTGGGCGGGGTGTTTTTATTTACAAGGTAAGTTTTGGCGATGAACATCACGGTTGGTTAGGATTGATTGTGAGTATGTACCGATCGATACGAAAACGGTACAGCAGTGTTCAAATTAAAAACTCTCTTCGGGCTTGCTTTCGAAGCACCCCATCGACAATTTGTTGTATTGTTGTATGCGGAAGACAAAGCGTTCTTCGGGGTGCAGACAACGCGGGGGAATAAGATAAAAACACAACCTACACAACCCACGGCAGACCTTGACGAGACATCATGCGTTGATCGACAGAAACCGCGACTATCGTGCTTCTTGTAGTGGAAGGGTTTCGGCAAAAACGAGGTGAACGTACATACCTACTACCATCGATTGATTGGTTGTTTGTTCCGACGGATAGGGGACATGACTAGAGTGTGCACAATGCACCGCAAGGTTGGTTCGTGTTGACTTCGGTGTTACGTTAGTGTTAGGGGTCGGGGGGGGGGGGAAGCATTGAACACACAATCAAGCGCTCCCAACCAAATAACCCCCCCCCCCCCCGCCACCCCGCGGGTGCCCC